CTAGATAGCCCTTCTAACAGAGATTTTTCAGGACCACACTCAAAACCAACGGGTAAGAAAATTTCCCAGAATACACCAGCCACAACGGCATCACAGCCGCACCCGGAAATAAGGAGATCCACAAATTATTATTATTTTTTTTTTTGTAATTATTATGATTTTTTTACTACAATCAAGCACATGTTTTAATATATTAATAACTACATTTATGTTTTACCATCATGCTTTTCAAAAAATGCTAAAATAAAAGCTGCGAAATTTCACTCTCTCATAACTGCTGTACAGCAGTCCCACAACATTCTGACACTCAAATACCCTGTCAGAAAAGTCTAGTGGCTGGGAATGAGCTTTTTACAGTGTCTGCTATAATGTTAATGTTGTTTTTGTGTGTGTGTGTGTGTGTGTGTGGTGTGTGTGTGTGTGTGTGTGTGTGTGTGTGTGTGTGTGTGTGTGTGTGTGTGTGTGTGTGTGTGTGTTTGTGTTTGTGTGTGTGTGTTTACATAGATGAATATGGCCATTGTGTAAATGTACAGTACAGTTACGATCTTATTGCCACATTAGATTGTTATGATAACATTATAAATCGTCACCTTGTAATTATAAGGTTCTATTTGCGTTCTGAAAGATTTTGAGATAGTGAGCTAAAGTTTTTGCATTTCATAGCAAACAGTATGTGTTTAACATTTGTTTTTTAAATAGAAATTCTTAAAATGTAAACAACCTTTTAAAAAACATCCTATAATGTAAATAAGTTTCACTTAATAAGAATATGTCAATAACCCAATTTTGACAAAAAAATGTCAGATAGAACCGTATAATTCTAAGGAGACGATATGCCATCAGCGATTTTCTGAAGATAAATACTAAAAAATAACAACTAGAATAACTACAGCAGTCGCGATCGTCTGATCTCAAATGAAGCATGAGGTTGCGATGACATATGATGAGGTGTGCAGGTGTTGAGTGCTGTCCCATTTCTTAGGGGTAAATTTTGAAGCCCTTCTCCTTAAAACTCTGTTTCAAGGGCCAAGGGGAAGGGGATGGGGTACAAAAATAGAATTGGGATTAGGCCTAAATCGAACAAGACAATTCTCACTCAAATATTTCTAAAGAGTTTTAATCGTTTTTCTATTTAAAGACCAGTGTAAAATAAAAAGTTGCTATTTTCTAGGCCAATATGGCTAGGAAGTATATTCTCATTCTGGTATAATAAGCAAGAAACATACACAGCTCTGTTACCTGGTTACCTAGCTGGGGACTATTTTCAGGCACCACTTAATATCATTGTGCCTGCTGAAGTCAAGAACAAGCAGCTAATGGTATAATCTGATTCAATGGCCGTTTCTCAATATGCGTTCTTCAGTGTTCTTGCGTCCTCGTGTTCTCATGTAACATCATCATCAACTGCCAAAGTTCAGTTCCAAAACTCAAGACCGCAAGAACAGAGGACGCGTGAAACTTCCTGGATGTGTTCTTGATATCGATTAATGCAGACTTGAGCGCAAAACTCGCTTGAGAAGTCCCAGAAGTCATTGTGGCTGAATAAGAAGGTGGAAAGAGCAGCTTTTTATATAGATTTATTATTAAAGTTCAAAGATATAACTTAATTGTCTCAGAAGTGAAATGGAACAGTGAAAGTAAACATTAGCATGAAAATTGTATTAAATTCTGCTGAAATTCATATTAAAATCTGTTTTATTTGTATTGAGCAAAGTATATTTGTAAAGTCTTTATGCAGTATATATTGTGAAAAGGGGCAGAACATTAAATCGCTGTATGAATGCTGTAATGTTTAAATTATTTAAACCACGTGAAGGTCACATGAACATGGAAGAACGAAGCATCTCATTTCTTACAGGATGCGTTCTCTGTTCTTGCGGTCTCCTGAGTTCATTCTTCTGTTAACTTGGCAAGACCAGTCTTCACAAGAACGCAAGTCTGTTCTCTGCATGCTTGGAATTAAGAAACAGCCAATATTACGGCAAGCTAAACTAAAAGTCCTCCCACAAGACAATCTTCGATAAAAAGCGGGGGGTGAACTTTTAATGGATTATCAGATTAATGTTCATGGTTTTAATCAAAGCAGCCAACAGTTATTTATTTTTTATTCAACTTTTTTTCCGTTTTTGACTAATAATATTGAGCACTTTTTAAAACTGTATATCACTAGCAAATCCTGAAGAACAAATAGTCTACCAGCAACTCCAACATCCCAACAGGAGGCATTTGCGCTCAGAATTATTCCAAGAAACGAATGTAAATTTTATTTGAATATATTTATTGTGTTCACTAAATACATTTAATCTGAGAGGGGAAGAAGGAAAAGAAATGGATGTCTTATTGAGGCTCTCCGACAAAAATACAGCCAATTAATACGCAATCTATTGACCTGATCATGTCTTTTCTGATGAACGACTCCCACATGCAAAAACAATTGTTAATTCAGGACGGATGTTAAAAATTCAGTAATATCCAACAGGTAGCATAAACATTATGAAAACACCTCATCTGCAAAAACGCAACAACAGCAGCATATGTCCATATCAAGTCATAAGCCTGAATGAGTATTGATTGAATTCACATTTCCTGTCAGTCTTCGATTACTTAAAACAATACATTTCAAAAATAAAGGTACAACAATTGTCAACCTTTATCAAAAGGTACATTGTGTCATGTATAGGTATAAATATGTACACTTTAGGGTACCAATATGGAACCTCTAAGTACAAACCTGACAGCTTTTGTACCTTTATTTCTGAAAGTCTAGAAATGGATGTGAATACACGATTTTTTTATGCAGACACTGGAGAACCTTAAATAAAGTAGTTACCAAATGCTGAGACAAGAATAAATGCTAGATAACGGTTGAATGAACTAGTGACTCGGCAGTATTAACACTATTGTTTGAAGTAATACCCCAAGACAAAAAAAAAAAGAAAAGAAGAAAGGAAGGAAAGAAGGAACAAACAACAGTCTCAGATGCTACTAAACCAGGTAGATTAACGTATCTCCAATGTCCACTTTCAGGCCGTTGTCGCTCATATGAACTTTGCTTTCTTGCAAGCTGATGTGGAAGACTGAACTGTTCGAGACTGGAAGTTTGCCTTCTTCTTCCTTCCCCAAAACTGGGATTCTCCGTGGTCCGAGAACAGGATCCTCATAACGCATCAGCTTCACTTTGGACAAATCTGAAATTTAACAATATTATTAGAGATTGAGAGACAATTGCATGGTTTTGTACCTCCAAATCTATTTAGACCTTATCCTGTGAGTAGCAACCCAACATCAATTTCATAAACAAATTTAACAGCACTGCCATTCAACATTAAAGATGGTTGACTCAACCATGTTCAGAATCAGAATGAGCTTTATAGAGTGGGAAACTATGACGTCACAACACACTGCTAACTCAACCAGGCCATGATACTTTAGGCAGGCCATGGCCAGGAATGATTTAATTTGGAAACATTTTGAGCTCATTCCAATAAGAAAAAAAAAAAAAAACTACAGCAGAGGCGTTTGAGGGAGTTCAGAGACAATATCTACTAACAATTTTGGGAGAAACTTTGTGCTTTGGAACTTTGCAGATCTGTTTTATGATCAAACAGCACACACTAGAGACTCAAAGTTTAAAAAGCAGAAGAGGAATCCTTTAAAAGGCCATGAAACCCCCCGTTTCAGCAGGATGCTTTCACACCTCTAGTTTGGAAAAAGTCAGGAAAGTGGGTGTGTCTAGCTTTGTTTGGGTGGGAGTGTCAGGGGAGAAAATGGGCAGGGTTTGAATTAAAATGGGCAGGGTTTGAATAAAAATGGGAGTTGCCATTTGGGCACGCGCTTCTGACCGAGTACAAACAAACAAACACACACGCAGGGGAGACAGTGTGTTTAATGACAGTGGGATGTTTGATACCGCACGTCGTATAAGAGAAAAAAGCCTCTGCATTTCTCTGTAACTCAGATGCACTCAGGAGGTCAGAAAGCCGTGTGTTTGTAGACTATCCCATCACAAAATTGCAGCGAAAATTCAACACGACGGTCGGCAAAAGTTTGCTTAGTGTTCACGTGTTTACACTCAGAGCAGCATTTACAGCGGATCTTTCAATATTGTAGTGATATTAACATTCTGTAAAGTTAGTAACTTAGAAATCATTTTGACTAAGGTCTGTCTTTAAACACTGAAAGAGTACAGCTGACCATACCAACTATAACTTTGGCATCTGAATGAACAAAGAAAGGGCACTGATCGCACACACAGAATCTGTAGACAGGACAATCAGCACATACTGGAGCTGCGTCTTTTTTAAAAGGAGACGAGCAGCAAATCTGGATCTCACCATAGATGAAAAATGCTCTTGAGTAAAAAATGTTCCAAACAAACGCATTTCTACCGCGCGTCGTGTCTACGGATCCACGCGTGAGTCTAGCAGTGCTCACAAAGAGACAAAATGAAAACAAAACCTTCACATTACGAAAGCAACACTGTATCTCGTATCTCCAAACAATTCTTATTCTTTTCCCACAACTTTTGGCAACACGACGTGTGTTGTCTCTCTGCCGTCTGAACACTGTTTCAGGTCCAGTCTAAGAAAGCTAGCATGCATATTAATGAAGTTGCAGTGCATTCATAATGGAGCGCGCTGATTGGTTTAAACCAAGCCTTACTCATGAATGAATGCAATGCACTCGGAGACGTAATACGAGCGCCTTGGTACAGACGTTCAGTCCACATGCTATAATACACGCTATTATCTCATGGCCGTGACGCAGCTTCAAAAATTTGTTTCAAACCGGAAGTAGGAATTTGCTCGAAATAACGCAAAAACAACCAATTTTCACTTTTTAGTGAGATATATGTGTCCTAATAGTGTTTTCAGCAGTGTGGGACACATATACGACTGTCAACAGCTCAAAAAAAGTGTTTTGGTGTTTCGTGACCCTTTAAATCGTTCTTACAGCTTCTATTCTGTCCAAAACGAATGTAAATAAGATTTACCCTTGATGCCTCTGTTGACTCGGGACAGTCTGCGAATGATGCTGTCTTTGCTGTCTCCCTGTCGGATGTCTATCTTGGTGGAGAACAGACCGTTGGATGGCTGAGGGTTCACCAGTGAGATTATCACTCCAGGCTATGGGACAGACACAGGTCGAGGTTGACACCATGCATTTATATGGCTGGTACAATAAACAGATCAATGTCATCAATGGATTTTCATATATTCACTTGTTTAACACACACGTTTGGTTTTGTGAATGGGCTACATGCACAGGGACATTTATCTTGAATGCCATGATATTATAAACATGCTAAATTTAAGATCTGACTAGTTTAAAATGGATTATCTTCATTGCCTGAATGAGATGCGTTATAAAGTGGGTCTCACGCCAGACAACATGTGTTAAATTCTATTATTCCATAGCAACTCACATGCGCTGCACAGGAAACAGATGAGGACTGTTAATGGCGGATGGGAAATCCGCAAAATTAAAAAATACTCATCAATTATGCCACAAAATCAAGTTATAAGAGTTTTTTAAGCGACAACATAGTTATTTTAAAGTCTGCAGTTTATGTATAAAGATATTGCGTCTTTAAACATGTTTATTTTAGGGCAGCTCAGCTGAGATCAGCATATTTTTGGTCTGCTGGCTCACCTTGCATTTCATGGACACAGATTGAAAGAAAATGTACAAGCAATTTAAGCCTTGACACATAATTATATTCTGATTATTAAAAAAAAAAAAAACTCAGACAAAATATGTCTAACCCATTTGTAAGAACCACTATTTTACCGTGGCATGAGTCACAGGTTGAGCTGGGAGAAATCTAAAATCTAAATTCTCATAATGTAACGCATTATTCGTACCAGGGAAATCAGACATGGGTTTAAAGCTGTGGTTCCAGAAAGGCCTACGGAAGATAAGATCTTTATGAAAATAAACTGATGACTTTTGAAACCTTATGCCGAGTTCAGACTGCAGGACTTTAGCCCCGATTTTGACTCGTCGACATGTGTTGAAAATTCGCAGACACAATGCCTGAAATCACGTGAGTGACAATCACACAGTATGAACTATCAAAGATGCGATCTGAGATAATCATCGATGAGTCGTCGATGCCTGTGAGATATTAGGTGTGCTAAATATCTGGAGCTGTCGGCGATTCAAATCATGCAGTTTGAAAGTTTGAAAATAACACCGGCGATCGTTTACAGCCAATGAGAGAGTAGTATTCATTGTGTGTGTTCCTGCAGGCCAGCGGGAAGTTGAGGGAGATATTAAAAACACTAATTTTCGGTTTATTTGGACCCAAGAAACGGAGGAAAAACTAGTGGTGGTTTGACAGGAGCACCCGTGTCTGTTTAAAGTGTCATACAGAAAGTTAAAAAAGAAAGTTGAGGAGAAATTGCTAATTCCCTTCAAACCCAGGTGAGCAAATAAGTACATTTTCTACCCCATTAAAGGCGTACGACGTGTTTTTGGTTGTGAGACGTAGTTTGGACAAAGTTGTCGGTGATTCTTCCTCTTGTAAAGTCATGCAGTGTGAAAGCCCCTGTCGCTGATCCATCTTGCAGTCTAAACGCGGTCTTTTTTTAAGATCAATTCCATGATATCAATTTGACTAGCCTAATAATTTGATTCGAAAGAGGCATAATTACACATAATTACATTATTTACTTAAGAAGTTAAAAAATATTTTCTTAAACAGATTTGATAAAAACTGAATTAGCATGTCCCTAGCATGTTTCTGGTATAAACTAGCATGTTGTTAGGATGAATTTAGTATGAATTTGAATGTTGCTAGAATGTTTATAGTATGGATTGACTAGTAAGTTGAAAAGTCATCAGGCAAATTGGTAGTCTGAGTTAAATGAGCCCAATCTTAAGTCTGTATGACAGTCTGGCGGAAAGTTATGAGGTCATAAAGTTTGGCCCAATGTTAAGTCAATGGGACTTTTCCGAAATTTACAGGTCAGCTTTCAGAAAACCACAAGTCAGATCAGTTGGAAAAGTTATAGCAACCCGAGTCAGACCAGTTTGGAGGTTTGGTGTTAGATTGGTGATTGCAGCATGAACGGTCTAACAAAAGATGCATATAGAAATTAGTCTCAGAAGTAGACAGAAAAAGAATAAGATTATGCAGTATAACAGTATGTTGGCTTTCTCAAGCCACCATAACTAAACTGTAATTCAATTACATTATTGATGTTGTAAAAGGAACATCTTTAAACAATAAATAGTCACATTAACCATTCACAAGAAGATTATCAGTGGCTCAAAAAGACTTGCCATGCATACAGCTCATTGCAGGGACATTCCATAGGTTTCCATTATTTTATACTGTAAAACTCCTTTTTACATTGCCCTTTCTGAAAAAAAGCCTCTATAATTTATAAACCTTTTGAAAAATAGATTTTTTAAATGGATTTTATAAAAACTGAATTAGCATGTCACTAGCATGTTTCTAGTATACACTAGCATGTTGTTAGCATGAATTTAGTATAAATTAGCATGTTGCTGGAATGTTAATAGTATGGATTGGTATATCATTGGTATGAATTGGTATGTTGTCTGTAGGGATCGGTATGTTGTCAGTATGCATTGGTATGTGTTGTCAGTATGGATTTGTGTGTAGTCAGTATGAATTGGTATGTTGTTAGTATGTCCAATGTAAAGTCGATGACAGATTTTTTTTTACAATGGATGTCTATAAGAAAGTTGCTAAGGAGCTGTAATTGGTTGCAAGGGTGTGACTAGTAAGTTGAAAAGTCATCAGTGATGAGCAGATTGGTAGTCTGAGTCAAATGACCCAATCTTAAGTCTGTAAGCCTCTATGATTTATAAACCTTTTGAAAAATGGGGACATGGGGAATATCCTAACAAGTGACCTTCTCCTTAAAATACCTGTGTCATATGTCATTGCACATCACACACAGACATGCTATTTCTACACCGAATGAGTTTTTATTGGACGTCTTTAGCAAATCATGGTAAATGGTAGTCAATTACCAAACTCACAAATAAATTAATTATAAAGGACACTTTATAATGAACAAAATTACCTTTCCTGCCTTCTTTTTTTTGTGTGCATGATGCTTTTTCACCATATCCTTATACAGAAATAAAACTCACTTCCAAAAGCCTTGTATTAATTTATAAGCATTTTAATATCTGCACGAATGCTGAGCACTAGACCATGAGAGTGAGAGGACTCTTTAAAGCATTACCAGTGCCTTTCTAAAATTAGCTCGTCTCTAGCTGCATGTAGCACAGGACAGATCAACCATTAGAAAAAAAAGAAAAAGAAAACCCAGACACAATAGATGGGGCTTTGGTGCTACAGCTATGACAGGGCCTCTGTGGGCTCTCATCATCACCTCAGATCTGAAGACACAGAACGGTTTCCCAGGGCAACAGTCCTCCTTTACTTTCTCATCCGCTTCAGAGGCAAACACAACGTCTATCTGATCCAACTGAAAGGGGAGAGCGAGACAGAAAGAGAGGTCAAAGAGAAAGAACGACACTAGTTATCACGAGGCTTCGGACTTAATTAAATCGTGTGTACTGCATTCACTGTGGATTGGTTGATGCAAATATGAATTTTTCTTAGCTTTTCTATTTTGTAAGACATTTTGGAGAAGAAAAGACCATTTTGGAAAAGAAATCATCTGAAAACTGGACTGTGATTTTTTTTGATAATGTTATTATCCACTTGCCATTGATCTCACATACAGTGCATCCCGAAAGTATTCACACCGCTTCACTTTTTCCACATTTTTTATGTAACAGCCTTATTCCAAAATGGATTAAATTCATATATTTCCTCAAAGTCTACACACAATACCCCATAATGACAATGTGAAAAAAAAGTTTTTGAAATTGTTGTAAATTTATTACAAATAAATAACCTGAAAAATCACATGTACATCAGTATTCACAGCCTTTGCCATGAAGCTCTAAACTGAGCTCAGGTCTGTTTCCACTGATCATTCCTGAAATGTTTCAGCAGCTTCATTGGAGTTCACCTGTGGTCAATTCAGTTGACTTGACATGATTTGAAAAGGCATACACCTGTCTATATATGGTTCCAGGTTTGACAGTGCATGTCAAAGCACAAACCAAGCATGAAGACAAAGGAATTGTCTTTAGACCTCCGAGACAGGATTGTCTCCAGGCACAAGGCTGGGGAAGGTTACAGAAACAGTTCCGCTGCTCTGAAAGTTCCAATGAGCACAGTGGCCTCCATCATCCGTAAATCAGGCCTATATGGTAGTGTAGCCAGACGGAAGCCACTCCTTAGTAAAGGGCACAAAGGAACTCTTTGGAGTGAATGCCAGGCGTTACATTTAGAGAAAACCAGGCACCACTCATCACCAGGCTAATGGCATCCCTACAGTGAAGCATGTTGGTGGCAGCATCATGCTGTGGGGATGTTTTTCAGCAGCAGGAACTGGAAGACTAGTCAGGATAGAGGGAAAGATGAATGCAGCAATGTACAGAGACATCCTGAATGAAAACCTCCTTCAGAGTGCTCTTGACCTCAGACTGGGGCGACGGTTTATCTTCTAGCAGGACAATAACCCAAAACACACCACCAAAATATCAATGGAGTGGCTTCACAACAACTCGGTGAATGTCCTTGAGTGGTCCAGCCAGAGCCCAGACCTGAATCATATTAAACATCTCTGCAGAGATATGAAAATGGCTGTACACTGTCGCTTACTATCCAACCTGATAGAGCTGGAGAGGTACTGCAAAGAGGAATGGGCAAAAGTTCCCAAAGACAGGTGTGCCAAGCTTGTGGCATCATTTTCAAAAAGCCTTGAGGCTGTAATTGCTGCCAAAGGTGCATCAACAAAGTATTGAGCAAACGCTGAGAATACTGATGTACATGTGATTTTTCAGGTTTTTTATTTGAAATAATTTGCAACAATTTAAAAAAATCTTTTTCACATTGTCATTATGGCGTATTGTTTTGTTTTTGTATTTGCTTTGAGGAAATAAATGAATTTAATCCATTTTGGAATAAGGTTGTAGCATAAAAAATGTGGAAAATGTGAAGCGCTATGAATATTTTCTGGACGCACTGTAAAAATAAAATAAATCTCAAACATAAGAGTGAGGACCTTTTATGATCTCCATGCTTTGATTATGTAGAAATGTACATTTAGATCTCCAAGACGATACCTCAAGTGAGTTAGTCAGATAAACAATGTTTTCCAGCAGAACAGCACGCTCATCGAACTCCAGTTCTAGGTCAAGAACCCTGGGCCCGTTTTTCTCTAGGTTGTCCTGGAAACACACAAAAACAGAAACAACTGAATCAATATTAAGACATTTCAATGTTAAACATTACCTAAATTTGTATACCTAGCCAAGGTATATGCAGGAATCCCAAAGGTAATTTCAATACCCTTTTAAGACATTTTAAAGTCTTTCTCAGGATATTTTAAGACCTCATCACCACTTCAAGTTCTAAGCAGTATCAGACCTTAACCCTAATAAACAGTTGGAGTTACTTTTTCCTATTTTGCCATTTGCTTCGCTCTATAGTTTCAGAACATGTGGAGAGTGTCACACCTTCCCGCGCTTGTCGCAAATTACATGACATCACCTGGTGGAGCTGGGCTAAACACTCCTGACCCAATCGTGTGGATTGAGCATGACGTTGTTAATATTAGGAGGAAAATTTATATGTTTATGCTTATTTTGAGTCAAACACTTTGGACAACGTAAAACGTGATTAAGATCTTTTAAGGGGCCTAATTTTCTAATTTTTAATACGTTTTAGGACCCCGCAGACACCCTGCTAGCAAACAAGCAAAAAGAAAAAAAAAAAACAACAACAAAAGTTTAGTGTTTTAAATTCTTAAAGGATTTCTATTATGGGGAATTTGGTTCACTTCAACCCAATTCATCTTTCTTCTATAGCATTCTTTTCTATAGCGCCTTTCACTTTGTGTCAAAGCAGTTTAAAATAAATTGAAGTTCAGTACACAACTGCATCAAATATATAGTGTTGCTTTATAGATGCTGTATGTAAGTTTTTGACTTGTTTATCTGAAAAACAATACTGAAGTCAGTTTTTCTGCTCTAAAAATGTTACGTGCCAGAATGCTGTCTTTGTTTTTGTGCTTTTAACCCACCCAATGCCACTTTAGCCTTTCTTTCTTTCCTTTACTAGGTGAGCAGGCTACATTGTAAACGCGTGTCCAAACAAAACACTACAAGACGAGATTTGCATCGATAAGCAATTTAGCCGTTTTCACCTGACGCAGCATGGCAAAAATTTTAATCCAGCCATTCAGAAGCACAGAATATGCACTCACTCACAAAATGGTCAGATTTATAATCTAATTAATACATATTGAACCTCTTTAACAATATTAAATGTAATGTTAATTGCTGAATCACTATGTGTTGGTTTGCATTATTTAACAGTTCTAAAGTTAAATTTCAAATAGGTTATGTTATTTTTAAGATCTGAGGTGAACTATCTGCTGCTGCTTTTAGTAGTAAGGCAATAAATGTCATGTAAAATGGCATTCAAGTACACAATGTCAGCGTTTAACATTGAATAAAGCGCAAGCGATGTACCTGAGGTGATCATTGTCATTTATCCTGTTGTTCACCGCTGTGAAATAGCAGTTTCTAATATAGCAATTTGAGGTGTTGGTTGGAACAACTCTTTTAATATGGAAAATACTCCTTTTATCACGTGATATTGCTTTTATGTAGAACACAATTTAAACCAACGAGAATCAATCGTGTTGGTCATCAATCTGGCAACCTGTGCTTGCATTTGTTTTTATGCAGGAATGCAATATCTAGTTCAACCCCTGGGTGTCAAACTTACATACAGCACCTTTAAGTACTGCATACACCAGGTGATTTTTATTAATCATTCATTAAACCCTTTTATCTTGCCAACCTAACTTTCCAGTTTTCACATATTTTAGATAACAGTGAGTTGTTCTAAAGTGACTGAAACACACTGATGTTTCTTAATGTTTAAGAGAATCTGGACTCCCTAGAAGCAAAAAAACGTTGAAGTCAAAATTATTAGCCCTCATGTGATTCAATTTTTTAAAGACCAAAGAAAATAGTTTTAAATGAACTGTTCAAATTATTATTTATTATTTTGCAATAAGGTTTAATTAGTTATTGTTTTTACTAATATGAACAAATAATGAACAATATTTATCAGCAATTATTAGTCATGGTTAGCAACATTTACAAATGCATTAACCAGTTAAACTCTGCTGTTATTTTGGGATTTCCGCCTGGATTTTGCCTACCCAAATTTAAAAGCTTCCCAAATCCACATGCAGAGGTGTAAATGCAAAACTTTGGTATCATTTTAAAGAAAACCCTTTGAATGTTCATAAAACACTATTGAAAGTGTTTAAAATAACTGTATATGCTGTCTGTGTTATAATAAACACCTAAAAAAAAAAGGCGCTTTTTGTATTTTTTTTTTTATAAACTCAAATTTGAAAGTGTACCTTTTACGTTCTGTGTGGTCTAGCATGCTTTAATTAATTTAGGTGGTTTCTGCACATGTCTGTAATAATAGGAAACAAGAAAAATATCTCTACCATAATCTATGCAAAAGTTATTCTATTCCCAGGGATCGATCGTTGTTTTAATATTTCACTATTCTTTTGTTTGATCAAACATAATTGACAGTGTTTGGACCACATCAGACATATAAAAGGATTACTTTATGCACATCACCTCAAAAACAGAGGAGAATGGCCCTGAAGCACACAGCATAAGATAAGAGATGACAGCTGTCTGTGCTATCTGGGGCTGCTTATTGATCATAAATGTATTGTTTTCACTTCTGGGCCATGGAAACACCGCGATTCATTCGACAACTGTTTGATATGCGAATATAATTCAGTAAAAAGAATGCTAGAACCATATGAGCACCGGCAAGAGCTTTCATTTGAGCTATAACTTGTACATGTGTCATATGAAAAATATGAAAATGAACCAATGTAAAATACCTAGCTCAGGTATCCAAAAAACTGTGTATTTAAGTGTAAATAACTTTCGTACAGTAGAATAAAATCCAAAGTGATGCATATGTGCATAAAATATAGATTGTACACTTTCAAACGAAACCACTTACAGGGGTCTGGTGCAATGTCAGCCCTTTAAATCTGAAAGCAAAAGTCGATGACATTACGGACCCGGTACAGGGTCCGCAGAGTTTAACTGGTAACATCCAAATGCATGCTTGTTAAGATTTGTTAATGCACCATGAGTTAACATAAACTAGCAATGAACATTTGTATTTTAATTAACTAACATGAACGAATACTGTAACACATGCATTGTTTCTGATGTTTGTAAACACATTATCTACCATGAACTAATACAATATTGTAAAGTGTTACCCGTTGTGTCTTCTTTTTATTATGGCTGAAATAAAAGCTGTAAAGATAAAACAGAACTCAAGTGTTAAACTCTACTTCTACCTTTATCATAGCCACAAATGGCATGACTCTCTTCATGTATTTCTTCAGCTCAGGCATGGCTCCGAGCTCCATGGCGATAACCTTATTGTCAGGTAAAGCTCCATTGTTGCTCTGTAAATGACAATGGGAAAGAATGACAGTTTGATTGACAGCTCATCAAGATCGAACCTTCTAACTTCAACTGTGAAATACCAAGTAGCACCATAGAAATGCAATGTAATAAAATGTTTATTTTTCAGAAGTGGCACTGAAAATATAAGTCTAAATATCAGTTGAGTTTTTTATTCAGAATCAAACATATTCAGGTAATTTGCCTTAATGGCCAGCCCCAATCCATTTTTGAAGATTGTTTCAACTGGCTCACTTTAACATAAGAATACCAAGCTATGATAAAGATGTTTGTACCTTGTAATGTTTGCCAAGCAGAGAGAGGGCGCTGTGCTGCCAGGGTGGGTAGGTCTTTGCAACATAGATGGTGCAGTGCGTGGGCTTAGCTGGTGGTTTGTTGTCCCCCTTCTGTGATTGACAAAAAAAGCAACACTTCAAGATTGGTTACAGTCCATTAAACAAGAAGTACTATGAGATGATGAAGATTTATTAATGACAAGAATTTGGCACATCTAACTGTTCATTTGATCAATGCATTGGCAGAGGGTGTCAATGGGGCTGTAGTCATTAGTTGGGTGGATGAGCTGGCCTGTGACTTACAAATCCAGCTTAAAGAAAAAGACAAGAACTTTGTTGCCTATTCACTGGCTATAGATGAGAATGCAGACTGTATGGACACTGCCCAGCTTTCTGTGTTTGTTCGAGGGATGAATGCACAGTTTTGCTTCATAGATACCCAACTGAAAAAAAACAGCTTAAACCAGCCTAGGCTGGTTTTAGCTGGTCGACCAGGCTGGTTTTAGAGGGGTTTTGGCCAGCTGGTTTCCAGCCATTTCCAGCCTGGTCTTAGCTGGTCAGTCTGGGAGATGACCAGCTAAAACCAGCTTGACCAGCCTAGCCAAGCTGGGAGTCCAGCCAAAACCGGCTATATCCAGCTTAAACCAGACTGGTCAAGCTGGTTTTAGCTGGATTTAGCTGGTCATTTTCCAGCCAGACCAGCTAAAACCAGGCTGGAAATGGCTGGAAACCAGCCTGGAAATGGCCAAAACCCCTCTAAAACCAGGCTGGTCAACCAGCTAAAACCAGCCAACCAGCCTAGGCTGGTTTAAGCTGGATTTTTCAGCAGGGTAAACGTTTGAGCATGTCACGTGCATCAAATTCTGCAGTTCTGTCTTTAATTTCTCTTTTCAGCCACACATGGGCTCAAATCTAGCTTTCATTGAGTTTGTTTTGATGCTGCTCCAAACCTCCAAGTGTTGTCATCAGTCAGATACTGAAAGTGCATATATAGAGGTATAAAGCTGTTTTAGAAGCCCTAACATTGTATGCTATGACTGAATTAACAGTAGTCATAATTTGTCAACAAAAATAAGCAGGAAAATGTTTGTTGCTTTCAGCTTGACAAACAGAAACTTGACAGGTTCTCTGCTCTAGTAATGTGACTAAAAAACCCTGAATGTGCATGATCTGGTCCACTCAACTAATGAATGAACATCACATTATTTTTGATGAAAAATAATGAGACTATAATGTAGACAAAATCTAGCCAACATTTATCCACTGCATTAAGCTGTTTAATAATTACATGAGCAGTTTCGGAGCACACACATTTAGGCAAGCTGCATGGTGCAGCAGACCTGTCAGGTTTCTGCTTGTCAAGCTATTACACAATTTCAAAGCGTCTTCACACTTTTAATTATTTAAAATGAATTAATTTTCTTATCACAGATACTGTGAAAGATTTAAATCCCTGCTGCTTGTATATGCTCCTCTGTCTGTCACAGTTCATGGAAAGTAAAACTTAAATCTCTCATGGGTGGTTGGTATTTATTCAGGCATGTTTAAATATTTATGCGAAATCAGACATTGAGGAACACCCAAGAAGCCAAAAATAACATGATCCTTGTTTCATAATACCCGTACGAATATTCGACTGAGCTTTGACTATTCAGGGTCCTTACATGCTTAGACACACACACACACATAAACACACACAACGCACATAACACACACACACACACATATGTGTGTGTGTGTGTGTGTGTGTTTGTGTGCGTGTGTGTGTGTACTCATTTATGCTGAGCACTTAAGTTGCATAATCTATTTCAGAGAAAATGTCAGTTTTATAGTAACAGAAATGACAAACATATGCAATTTCTGTTTATGGCTTTTAGGTATATATACACACACACACACAGAGTACCCGGAAAGTATTGGTAGCGCTTCACTTTTTCCACATTTTTTTTTTTATTTTACAGCCTTACTCCAAAATGGATTAAATTCATTTATTTTAATTTTTAATAAATTTGCAATTTCCCAAAATATTTTTTCAATTGTCATTATGGGGTGTTATGGGTAGAACTTTCAGGAAATAAATGAATTTAATAAATTTAGGAATAAGACTTTAACATAAAAAAATGTTGAAAAAGTGAAGCGCTATGAATACTTTCCGGATTAACTATATATATATATATATATATATATATATATATATATATATATATATATAGTCAGCTAACCTAACAGGAATAAAAAGATAATACAAATGATTTAAGTTTTAAGCTGATCTTTTGCACTGATGGAGGATTTGTGGAGAATTTATACACAGTCGATTGCGTTGAGTACATTGTAGCCTATATGAGACAAACGTTTCCTCAAATTTGGCCCCCAGCATAATCCAATAATGATTTCAGCTCATCATCCTTGGAAAAAAAGTCTCTATAGGACATTGTTATAATTTGGGTCAATTCTACAGAGATTTATATAATAGCTGTTAAACAATCTGCTTTCTGTTCCTTCATAACAGCTGACTTGTCTTACGGAACTTTCATCAAGCCATAGCATCAGTATGCTATCTAACCAAATGATGTTGTGATGAATTAGCCATAAAATGAACTCGCAATAAGTGGGTTACCTTGAGAAATGTTGAGTTTTAAAACAAAGTCAATAGTAATTGTGGTTGAAATTTTGGCAATAAAGCTGAAAAAATTAAACAGATAGCCGAACAAGGCTAAAGTCACAGCTAGCGCGCATTGGTGCTTGTATGGAGATGATAAACTATTATATTAGTCTGTTTTCTGTGTCTAATGTTGCAAATAAATGTATTAACCCAATGATATGAAAATCAGGAAATGATTTTTCTACCGAAAGTAAACCCAAAGGCAATTGAAATTAATGGTTTTTTTTGCTCCAAATAATAAGATGTGGTGTTTATGAAATCCTTAATTTCAATATTTATAATTTATATATATATATATATATATATATATATATATATATATATATATATACACATTTAATTTTATATCACTGTTTTTATATACAGTTATCATCAGTATGGTTTTCCCTTCGAGGTCTAAAACCCTCTAAAATACATCAACCCAACAACCCCTCATCCAAAGCGACATCCATTACCACATGGCCCCAACAACAGTGCTGAGAAAAGCCTCTGTCCTCAGAGCCTTGAGTCATAATGCTTATGTAAAGCCCAGGATAGGTAGAAAAAGACTGTAGGGAAAGTGTCCCATGTTAAAAGCTAGGGATAATGCACTACTCCTCTGTCAAGAGAGGTCTGGGACAGCGCTGAACTCACTCTACATGACAGCTGTCGACTTGACTCGTCCTTTATGCCACTTCTGCTTGGGTGGGGATGGAGTGCATACTGGACTGCTAGAAGGATCTGTTTAATGGCTTAATGGTTTAAGGATTTTATAAATTATGCTATTAAATTTCAGGCACAAACCTAATGGGTAGCTGCCATACAATATCTTAACACGAAAGCTTCATAAATAAACAAAATCACTGAAGATGTAATGTCGGACAGCAGGTTTGAAGAAGCTGTGCAATCATACATTGTTCATAAAATTTGCTTCTGACCTTTAAGAGGTATTCATCATGTTTTATTGAAGATATGAGCATAAAAACTGCTTAACGGAAATGCCAAGGTGGCCATCCATTTTAAAAATGAACATGCGCAGAGCTGAGTAAAGAGGGTTGCGACCACCTTAAGATTAACTTTTTATTTAATTAGAGAAAAGTTCAAGTATTCAAGTATTGGGGTTCTGTTCATGAGTGAGGAAGGGATGGAACGTGAGATTGACAGGCGGATTGATGTAGCGGCAGCAGTAATACGGTTGACGTTAATACCGGTCCGTTGTGGTAAAAAAGAAGCTGAGCCGAAAGGCAAAGCTCTCGATTTACTGGTCAATCTACGTTCCTACTCTCACCTATGCTCATGAGCTATGAGTCATGACCGAAAAGACAAGAATTTCCTTCGAATGGTGGCAGGCCGCACACTTATAGACAGGGTGAGGAGCTCGGTCACCTGGGAGGAGCTCAGAGTAGAGCCGCTTCTCCTCCACATCGTGAGAAGTCTGCTGAGGTGGCTCAGGCATCTGTTTTGGATGCCTCCTGGACTCCTACCTAGGGAGGTGTTCCAGGCATGTCCCACTGGGAGGAGGCATCGGGGAAGACCCAGGACACGCTCCGTGCTGGCCTGGGAACACCTTGGGATCCCCCCGAAGGAGCTAAAGGAAGAGGGAAGTCTGGTGTTCTCTCCTAACTGTGCGTTCACACCGAAGCCGGTGAGAGCGTCAAAGGTCGCTTTGGCCTCCCTGGTGACAACACTGTCTCCCTTCAGTTCCGGCAGCGAGAGCGTCAAAATTTGCTACATTGATCTCTTATTTAAAGGGGCCGTTGCAGCATATTAGTTACATTCCTACATAAAACATGCTTTCTAGAGTGAAAATGTTGCACATTCTTATCAAATTCATTTAACAATGGAAGATCAAGTTGTGTGTGTGCTGTGGCTTTGCTCCACTTAATTATCCAAAATGTCCATATGTCTGAAATATTCTAAAGCAGCAATACTGTTACTGTTACATGGGATTCACGCTTTTTTAAAGAAATATACATACATACATACATACATACATACATACATACACAATAATCCACATCAGTAACTCACCAGTAAAATGTGTTTCTATTGTCTTGGAAGCAGACGTTTATGTGCGAACAACACGACAAAAAAAAAAAAAATGAAGATATGTTTTGCACAGTTTGTCGTAAGTTTGGCAAGTCAGCCATCTTTTGTTAAATCATTGAGATCTGCAATTAAATACCTGCCCATTTTCCATACTGCTCCTTTTGTTTGCATTAACACTTTTACTTACTATACCTTTATTAACATTTTTTAAAATCAGATCGCTGTATGCAAATACACCAGCTAGACAGTGGTCTATTGCTGACTGAATTTTTATTGGCTGACGCTGCTATGATGATCGCATTAGCCCCAACTTTAGACACGCCTTCAGTCAAGCGTTGATGCCCTAGCCCCGTGTGAATGGGGCGTTCATGTTGAACCCTGAATATGGTACCTACCTACTATACAGTGTATGATTTTGGGCATTTAGGATTGTAATGTGAAAATAAGGGATCATCTAACCAAAAACCTGATGCATGGCAAAAATGGAAAGGAAGGGAATGTGGCCATATACCTATTACAGTGCTTTCAATCCAAACAAATTAAAGCATAAGTCTTTTGAACAGCTCTTTTACAGTTAAGAGCAAGAGGTATCATCCCCTGGTGATTCGGCAGAAATCTACCAACAGGGAGGATCAACTCCTTGTAGATATTATTGAACACATTCAAAAAAAGATTCTAAATATGTGAGAATTACAGGAAATGCATTTAACAGACTGACAGTAGGATAGAATGATGAAAAACGGGAGACTTCTGGGAAAAACGTGAGGGTTGGTGGGTATGATTTTTGAATGACAAACACAAAATGCTGCCACCTACTGGTATGGAGTGTCATTTTAACTTATGCAGGCCAATATTTGTGTAGCATACATGCTGGTTGGCGATTTGCAGTGTTTTAGAACACAATGTGACACAACATCACCTTCCCTTTTTACTTTGCTTGTTGTATCAAAAATATAATAAAAAAACATCTGATGTGTTAGACGTTACATGTTAATCAGTGTTAGTATTAGGTTGTGTGATTAATCAAAATCGAATTGCAATTTGAAACGTTGTAATCAGTTAATAGCAAGAGGCTGCAATATGAAATACATATTTATATATATAATTAAATATCCCACACCCAGAGCAAATGCGTGGCTGCCGGCTGTGTGTGTGAGTCTTACTATCAAATTGAGTGAGCACACTTTCGTCCTGCCCAATCAGAATCGCACAACCGAACTACAGCCACAATATAAAAAAAAAGAAAACAAAAAGGAAACCACTGACAAGTGAGATTATGGAGACTTATGCTTCAGAAGCATAAATAGACAAATTAATATCAAAGAAAAGCAGCATTTGTAATATGGCAATATTTTGGTTTCAAAGTCACAGACACCGAACAAAAACAAGTCAATTTTAAGAGCTGTCGCAGAATTGTTGCCACAGCTTACAGATCATTGAGCTGAAGCATGACTACAAAAGTAAATCGGAAATTAAATTGCAATCACAATATCTGTCAAAAAAATATCAATTAGATATTTTCCCGAAATCACACAGCCCTACTTAGTATACAACAAAATATAAACATATGTACTGTATTTGGGATATTTGCAAAGGTGGTCCTTATTTCAAATACACAAGTCTGAAAAGGTCATACCTTGCCCTTGGCTGGCTGTGTGTAGGCTTTCAGGCGAAGGCGGAGGTCATGGGCAGTGTCCATCAGATACTGTGAAGATCGAATCAAGATCTCGTCCACTGGACCAGCTGTAGGCCATTGAGCCTTCATTACAGTACTGCTCTATATGAAGAGAGAGAACAATAAACAGAGTTAACTGTGCGTTGCTCAGTTCTTACATTTGTCTATTTTCTTTTTTACATACACAATCATATATTTTATGGATGCACGATATATCGGCGGCCATATCGATATCGGCCGATAAATGCTATTTTTAAGATTATTGTTATCAATCCAATGTCTAAATTAGGCCAACATCTTTAAGCCAATAAATTGCGTACAAGACTGTCTGCCTCGCGCATGCGTGGGCGGAACTAGTTCAGACTTGTCCAGTGCACTACAATGGAGCTCTCCTCACACTGTTTATTCCTTCAAAGTCCGTCCTTTCTTCATGTGGTATTGCTGGGCATTAAAAACTCAGTCAAGTAACCATGTTCCTTATCATTATAGATATGTTTGATTGAGTGATATTGTGTATTTTGCTTTAAATCGCATCAGGAAAAAATATTACATGTGTAAACATAACAACAAAGATGCACACGTGCTAAACAAGTTGGGTTGTTTGTAATCTAATATGATTATTTGTTCTTAACGCGTTGCTTGCCATGTGTTGTTGATGTAAGATTGTATCCACTTTGATCGCAATATTCATATTGATTATAAAGAGCGCGCATGAGGGCTGTCACCGCACACACACACACACATATATGATCTGACAGCCTTCACAACAGCACGGGGTAGAGGTGCGCCAGTCACTGAATCCAGCATAGGGGTTATCAATTCACCGCCATAGTCTGTCTTTATATTCTGCTCTGCGTTTGTCTTAACATCATCTGTGCTCAATGCTCAGGTGTTGTATCAAAATCTGACTCCGAGGGCAAATCTGCACCTGCAGTTGAGTGAAACTCACAGCGGTTTATCCTAAACTTTTCATCGATCATTTTTCACGCAATTGACAGCAAGAACGAACACAGAAGCGTTGTCTGATTGACAAACAGCAGCTACAAGTGTTCAACAGAATCTAAAACGCCAAATAGGATAAATCTATGCCGCATTTTCTAAAGTAATACAATCTGTATCTAGCTTTTCGCTTGTACGGTGGCTCTAAACTGCCAAAACACCTCTAAAATAACGGACATGACATATTTCTAAATATGTACATTACTGTAACACGTTTTATTCAAAAACAATTGAAATGGTTTTAGTCCTTAGCTCTTTCATTTTCATTTTATTTAAACATATATTTAACTTGCTTGTTAATTAAATCCCATTTTGTTATTTAACCTATTATTTTTATGCAACAGTCAAGTTGCATGTTAATTTGCGATGAAGAAAAACAAATAATAAATTGTTTGCATGCTGATTTATGTGAAATCGTGAATATATACATATTATATATATATATATATATATATATATATATATATATATATATATATGATATATATCGGCCTCCAAGTCTGAAGAGTTATCAGTTATCAATATCGGCCAAAAAAAATCCATATCGATGCATCCCTAATATATTTCAATTGCATTTGATTGTTTACTTTTCTATTTCCATAAATATATTTGGAATTTGATGTAATAAGAGCAAAACAGTAGCCAGTATAGCATTTTGGAAGAGTATGCAAAAATGGCACTAAAAATTACCCAAATAATCAGTATAAAAAAAAAAGTGAATGCAAACACGAGTGAATCTATATATGCTCTACTTGAATCTAGGAAGGAAAATTTCTCATAATCTGAAATAGCAATACAATTAGTGCTCCTGTAAATGTAGTTAAAGGGGAAAGTAGTTTTCGCGGCTATTATATTTTGTTTAAAAAAAACACTACACTTTAGGAGTAAGCAGGCAATTTCTGGAGGAAACTGTGACTCAATGTAGAGAAGCTCTTACCTTTCCCAACAGGGACCAGGTGTGTTCACACAGATGTGGGCAGATGGGAGCCAGCAGGAGTGTTTGGTTCTCGATAAACTGAAACACGAGATCTTTGTGCATGCCCTCGATGGCCAGCTCCCTGTATTTATCCTTGGCAGCCTTTAAGAAATGAAGACATTTTCAATTACATATAGCCATGCTGCTAGTTCAAACTTTAATGGAAGGACACAATTACTTGCAGTGTTTATTACTCGTGCAGATATAATTGTCACATTTCAATGCATACTACATTCATAGTTTATTTAAGCAATAGGATGGTGGACGGAAGTGTAAAGGGTACCTGGAATTCAAAGAAGCCACTCTTCAATGCCTCCTTGTACATCATTCTCTCATAGTGCTGATCTGTTTTAATGATGCCGGAGTTCATTTCACTGCAAAAAGATATCATGCATGTTATTTAATTAAATTATGCTTTAGTAAAACCGATCAAATTCAGAATAAATGAGTATAAGATTTAAATAAGTGATTAAGATCTAGATTAAAATGGCACACAGATATGGTGATCAAAATGTCTAAACATATGCATGAATGAACATATCAAGATATGAATCATAGATAACTATATGCAGTTGAAGTCAGAATTATTAGCTCACTTTGATTTTTTAAAAATCTTTTTTAAATATTTCTCAAACGATGTGAAACAGAAACGAATCCATTTCAATGGAATGTTCCTTCCGTTTTTACTGCTGCTTTTTAATTGTTACCTTATAAACACTCTGTCATTAAATGTGTCTGCAGGTCCGGTCCTTAGGTTGTCCTGATTAGCGATCATCTCCTTCACCCATTCCACCCAAGTAAAGAGACGCAGTATTCCCGCATCCGCCATAGCCTCAACAAAGTTAGCATCCTCCACAGTGTCTCCCGCATCAGCCAAAGCCAAACGCATACCTAGCATACAGACAGACATTGAGACTATTGGAAATCATAATCACTTGACTATTAATTTATGTATTAGAGCAGGGGTGTCAAACTCAATTCCTGGAGGGCCGAAGCCCTGCACAGTTTAGTTCCAACCCTGCTCCAACACACTTACCTGTAGGTTTCAAACAAGCCTGAAGGACTCAATTAGTTTGATCAGGTGGGTTTAATTAGGGTTGGAACTAAACTGTGCAGAGCTGCGGCCCTTTTGGAACTGAGTTTGACACCTGTGTATTAAAGCCATATAAGCAGCAATGGCTATATTCATGGTAACACTTGTACTTGATACATCATATACAAGCACAACTATTTCTTAAAAATCATGCACTGTACAAAAAAAAAAAAAAACACAAATTAAAACAATAATAGAAAGTCAGAGATCTTCCAATTTGATCAATCATAAACATTCCTCCACATGACACCTTTTTAAACATTTCCTTTCAATTATATTCTGAATAAAAACATTCTCTAACATCATTTAAAAATGTACATTCTGTTTTAAAAAAAAATATTGTCAATATGATTATTTGATCAATACGTTTGTCGTATACTTCTCATATATATCCAAAGACAGGAACAAACAAGAAAGCAAGATGCTGATCTACATAAATTCTTACAGGCATAGGAATTGGATCTTTTTTTTTTTTTTCTGGAACTAAATAAAGCAGCCTGATGCTATAACAGTCTGACCGCATGTAAAGTGTTTGGCCTTCCAATGAGCCAGCATTTATAAAGGGCTTACCATCTGCTGAAAACTTGGCAATGGCTTGACTCAAAGTGAGAAAGTTGCCAGTGGATTTGGACATCTGGTGGGTATAAACACAACTAATTAGATAGCTGAAACGGCCAACCACAACATGCATGTTGACAAATGTAGAGAAACATCATTAAGTCATTCTTGTTAACTCAAATACAGCTGCCAAATGGCAAAAATAAGAAAAAAAAACACTTTCAATTCATCACTGCAATTACTGAAATAAAAGAAGTTGAAGTTGTATTTCTGCAATTCATATAAAAAGATCAAATGAAAATGATAACAAATATTAAAATGATACATAACTAAAATATGAGTGTTCTCTCAGCCCAATTACAAATTTTTATTTATTTTACTTTTTTTTTTTTTAAACCAAGACATTGGCCCCATTTCAGAAAGGAGGTTAAATGATAACTCAGAGTATGTTAACCCTAAAAGGAGAGAAACTGGGTTTTCCGTTTTAAAATGGCAGGTTTGTCAAACTGGAGAAAGCAGGGTAAGTTAAGCCTGTTTCTAAAAGAGCGGTAACTTTAACTCAGAGTCAGTTACCGTGGTAACTTTCTCTGTGAAGCTAACCTGGTCAGGAGCAGGTTTTATTCTCTAAACTTAGAGTTTCTGTCCGTCTCCTCACCTTTTTTTAAAGACAAAGAGGTGTTTCTCGCCTAAGCCTTATGTTTCAATCCACCTATTTTTGTGTGTATTTTGGAGATGCGCATAAAAAAATAAAACAAAAAATAAAAAAAAAAAAAAATCGGTTGATGGAAATAACTTTTAAAAACGCATAAAAAACATGCGCATAACTGAGTAGGATAAACGTTTTAAAAGATGCGCATAAACTGTCATGGAAACACTTTTACTGAACAAATTCCCGTATGTGCATTAAAAGTGTGTTTTAAGAGATCGTGTGATGATGAAAATATGTGGGAATGGAAAAACCAGCAGGCTGAGCGCACTGTAAAACATCTGAAATGTAGTTTTGGTCATTTCAGTATCAGTGTTATCATATTATTAAAGACCTCCAAAGCGTCTGGAGCATGTCAAGAGCGTCTGTTCTCCACATCTCATGGCTTTAAACACCACCACGCATTCATTGTGTGTCGGCATTGTCTTTTGAGGTTAAAGTCATTTAATAAATGAAGAAAACATTTTACAAGAATGGCTTGTCCTCTTTTAATAAATAATTATCTTAAATTCACTATCCTTCAACAGGGATATCTACTGTGACTGGATTAATGGCATTATTACTTGTTCTAAAAACTATTGTTTAGTTCTGCTTACATTCAAAATGTCAACCTCCACCACTTGATCAATAATAAAGGCAGACACACAAGTGCACTTTACATCTATTAATGCTAATCTCTTTTTTCAGATGTTGCCATGGTGACTCTAATATCTGTGCTCCATTGATAATGCCTTTATATAGTCGCAGTGTATGCACTTAACTCTAAGTTAAGGCCTACTTACACTATGCCATTCCTACCGTGCCCAGGCTCGTTTCCCGGATCATTTAATAAATGTGAGTGGGCTAAATCGGGCTCAAGAACGGTTCACTTGGCCGGCCCTGGCCCGGTTGGAAGAGGTGGGCCTGAGCACGGTTCACTTGGGGTACGTTTGTAGTGCGAGTGCTAAACACTCCAAAGCCCAAAACTGAAAGCGAGACATGACTTTTAAGGGGCTGTTTCATATGGATTTATTAATCATTCTTACTGTTCAATGAATGCAAACTGCCGTAGTTTATTAAATACGCAAACCCCTCACTGCATGACAGCTGCGCACCTTTAGCAGACCTCCTCAGTCCTGCAGCACGAGGGCTTTATGATTGTTTATGAGCGTCAAAAGTGGCGGATCTGTTCGGCAAAATATCTGACTGCGTGTCACCGCATCCCTAAGGACTGTTTGGTGAAATATTTGACTGCATGTCACTGCATAACAAACGACTGAAACGCTATAACTAGAGAAATCTTCACTGTGCTGCTGAGTGAGAGAGCGCTTCTCACTGAACAGCGCAGCAGCGATGACGTAAGGGTGCCCAGGCCCGAATGTAGTGTGAGTGCGGGCCGTCAGGGGAGACGGGAGTGGGGACAAGCGTGCTTTGGCTCGATTCGAGGCAACTGTACATAGTGTGAGTACGGCCTTAGTCTACTCCAACTTGATTGACCTAACTCAAATCCGCTATTCTGAAACCGAAGTTTTGAATCTCTCGATAAGTCAACTCAGACTTCAAGTTTAAACTCTGAGTTGGTTGAACCTCCTTACTGAAACAGGCCCATTATCTGCGTAATTTATTTCAGATTATTAAAAACCCAATAAATGTTTACATGACAATTACATAAGAAAAAAAGAACTCACCTTTTCAGAGTTTAGCAAAAGATGACCATTGGCACGTACAGCTTGCGGCCATTTTCCACTATAAAGAAAAAGATAAATAACATTTCCATGTAAATGAAAAAGTGCATCAATGCAGAACTAAAATAGCAGTGTGACTGACAGCCATAATATACAGTTGAAGTCAGAATTATTAGCCCCCTTTTGATTTTTTGTTTCTTTTTTAAATATTTGCCAGACAATGTTTAACAGAGCAAGGAAATTTTCACAGTATGTCTGATAACATTTTTTCGCCTGTAGAAAGTCTTATTTGTTTTATTTCGGATATAATAAAAGCAGTTTTACATTTTTTAAAAATCATTTTAAGGACTAAATTATTAGCCTCTTTAAACTAAATTTTTACGATAGTCAACATAACAAACCATCATTATACAATAACTTGCCTAACTACCCGAACCTGCCTAGTGTGGAAATATAAATTTCTATCAACTAATTCCAAATGAACAATAATCTACGTATAACTGAAAAGTTATATTCTTTGGTTTTTAATTATATAATTTCATTAACATCCCAGCTAGGAGGGACATTTAACCTTTATCTCTCTGACTACAGGCTAAGCCAGTGATGCAAATGCTTTAAACGACTCTGTCTTTGTCTTCGGGTGTTGCTTTTATGCTACAGAAACCCTATGTTGATTAACTTGTGTGGTCAGTAGCTGGGCCGTTTTTTAACACCTATGCCATGCTGACTCCAACTCTTAATTTGCATGCTCTGTTTAGCCATATCCCCTCCTCCTAAGAACACAATATGAAATATTTGTCTCAATTCAGACTAATTCAGACTTGTGTGAGACTTGTGAGAGATTTGTGAAAGAACTTGCAGACTGCGGACCTCTAGTAGGCTCTTGCAGACACATGGAAATCTAAAAGACGCTGTATGACTGCAGATTAACCAACACGTCTCAATAAAGGAATTCTGCTTGTTTCGAGTCTCCTGGACTGGGTTCTCTCTTCTTTTTACTCATTTATTTTTTTACAACACTAGTTAACCTGATTAACCAAGTTAAGTCTTTTAATGTCACTTTAAGCTGTATAGAAGTGTCTTGAAAAATATCTAATAAAATATTATTTACTGTCATCATGACAAAGATAAAATAAATCAGTTATTAAAAATGAGTTATTAAAACTATTATGCTTAGAAAAGTGTTGAACAAATTTTCTCTACATTAAACAGAAATTGGAGAAAAAAATAAACAGGGAGATAATAATTCTGACTTCAATTGTATTTAAAAAATACAGTTAAATTTTTTTTTTCTTTTTTCCCTATTAGGAAGTCAATTGTTACAGCTTTCCAACATTTTTCAATATATCTTCTTTTGTATTAAATAACGCTACAGTTTGTTACAGGTTAAAGACTAAATGATGCAAGAATTTTCTGTTTTGGATGAACTATCCCATCAATTAGTCCAGGAAAATAAAATAACATTAACATTTTGATGCAATTAACCAACCAGTCTCACCCTCACTCATGTTGTTACATTTCATACAGTGATGAACATGAAGCATAGCTGCAATTAAGCAGATTTGTGCTCCTAAAAATCAAGATACTGTAACAAAAACATAAATAAAAACCAAAACACTAGGGTAATTCAGTTTTTTGAACAAATCTAATATCTCTATAAGACATTACCTCCACCTGCTGGCATTTCCAGAGTACTTCATTAAACAAAAATATTTTTATATTTTCAGTGGATCAAAAACTCAATCAAAATTAAGAGATTAAAACACCATCATGTACTCACACTTACTCATCAATTCAAACCAGTATGAATCTATTTCTTTTGCGGAACATATACATACACAGACACACACTCATACGACAGTATTTAGGAATCAAAGTGCACTCCCAAAATACTAATAAATATTTATGCATTCAGCGTCACAGAGGCCTTCAGAAAACTTTATATTATTCTAATTTGCAGCTTCTTTATGAGCAGCAAGAACATATACTTGTAATTACGTTTGTGATGGTGCTTTAGAATGGTACAGCATCAGTTTCCACAACAGAAGCAGCCTAAAAGTTAAACACAGATTATAATAATAAATTCGAGCAAGAGATCATCATATTACACTGATTTCGGATGGACCTTGTGATTCCAGAACGTAGCAATGATTCTGAAAATGCGCATTAAATAAGAAATAAATTAAAATTGAAACTTCTTTATTTTCATTTGTAATACCAGTAATATTTTATAGCTTACCTGTTTTACTTTATTTGTCATCTAATTACAAGTTACTGATTCTAAACTTATGATGTGTATTGTATATATACACACAGTATATGTATACAGTTAAAGTCGGAATTATTAGCCCCCCTGTTTATTTTTGCCCCAATATCTGTTTAACGTAAAGAAGATTTTTTTTCAACACATTTCTAAACATAAGTTTTTTTTATATATACTTTATTTTTATTTCTTTTAAGGAGAAAATAAATAAATAAATAAATAAATAAAACAAGGGGAAAAATTTTTAAAAAGGTAAGTTAAAAAAAAACATTTAATTAAGTAAATAATACAATAAAACACCAGAACTTAAATGAACGGTTGACAGGTCACATATCTCCTTACAGGTCACATGAACAAATACACATATAAATCAGATTACACTTTGTAAAGGCATAAGTACAATCTATTTCTCCCAATATTGCAGGTATTTGTCCATTTGTAGTTTTAGGAAAAAGTCATCCTCTCCATATTTTGAACATTAGATATGATATCCAACCATTCAGATTTTGTAGGGGGTTCCAGTTGTAGCCACTTTCGAGTCACAGTTTTCTTACTGGTTGCTAGGAGTATTTTTAATAAGTACTGTCTTTTACCGTTAGGTTGGCTGCAATATTTCCCAGATATCTAAACATAAGTTTTAATAACTCATTTGTAATAACTGATTTCTTTGGATCTTTGCCATAACAACAGTCCATAATATTTTACAACATTTTGTTTAGATACAGGTATTTAGATCAGAGATGTCTAAAATTAGGGCTCGCGGGCCAAAGTTAGCTCATTGTAAGCTTTGATTTTTGACTATTCTCGGTTTAACTTTGGAGACTTTGAGATCGTCCTCCTTGTTCAGTCGTGGCCTTTATTTTAATGTATGCAAGTGCCATAAACGTGTCAAAGTTTACCATAGTACCGTAAAATCAATCTGCTGCGCTTACTAACTCTAATGCTGTGATGTTAATCTAGTATAATAACCCCAGGGGTTGCAATCCAATGGAGGGCTGATGACTTTATTTGCATGTTTTTATGTAACTATTAAGTATTAGGTATATATTAAATTTATTACAAGTTAAAAACTATTTTTTATATTCTGCAGGTTATGGATAAAATGATAATTCTAATGGTTTAATAACATATGAGATTTTTGGAAATCAACAAGCGACCACCTTCTCATTGTTTCGTGACCCCCCAGGGGGTCCCCACTTTAAAAACCACTGCTGTAGACAATCGGAAAAAAAATAACGTAAGGGGGCTAATAATATTGACCTTAAAGTGCACAGTTTACCGCTTTTTTATGATTTAATATTAATATTATGGATCTTCTGAGTGTGCCAGTTTAGGTTCAGTTCAGGTGTTTTTATTATAATGTGTTAAAAGTGTTGTGGGCGTGTACACAGCTCGCTGTTTTAGGGGCGTGTTGCTTTACATGAAAATTATATTCGGCCCAACGTAACAAGGGGGCGGAGCCAAGAGCTCCCCCGCTCTGTGTTTGCAACTGACAGGCTGACAGAGAGAAGCGACATGAATGAGAGAACCAGCATTCAGCCGTACAAGTACGACTCGGACACAGACCAAGCAGAGAGTACAAAATCATCTGTCTCTGTATAGTTTTACAGCCAACTGTGTGCTAGTTTCAAGTGCTGAGCTTGTACACCGTGACTAATAACCACGCACACTGAATTAAGCCAAAAATTAAGCCGGATGCACCACTCGAAGCCGTGACACGGCACACGACACACTCTCAGTGGCGCGGCAGAAACATGAAGTGTCTCGAATCGTCGCGCCACGCAGCGACATGCATTCCAGAACTTCAAACACAGGCCTCCACCAGGGCAAACCCAACGGCACCCCAAGTCGCGGCCGCCCGCAGCGCCCAGCCACCAACCCAAAGCCGACAGAAACCTACACCCAGAACGAAATGCACAGCGCCGTGCAAAGAGGCGCTTCTGGTGTGCGACCTGCAGGCACATTCGTTATTTTATTTCCAATGGAGAGACGCGCACATGAGGCACTTTTCCAGCTGCACCTAGTTAAGATCACAGGGAGCTTCTGTGATGCGACCGGCTGAAGTTTAAGGTAGACGCAATGAAAAGTACACATGTTTGCAAACCCACCAAAAGGTACAAACAATAACTCTGATTAGAGCGATAACGTGGAGAAAATTTTTCTTGTGTTGAGCCCAATGAGCCTTACATCTAAAAATAGAGCACGGGTGTTCCTTTAGTGATATCGCTTTGCCTCACACGCTGAAAATGGTGGAAGTGAAACAACAAACTAAGGATATGGTGCATGTCAATCAAAACTGGTGGGCGGGGGGACCGCACTACTGCATCAAGTTGCGGTCGGTCTGAAAACCGCTCCAATTGGTCCACCGTTTTTATGTTGTTAAATAAAATAAAAAAAAGTACTGTGTGTGGGTATATTACCCCAATATGACGGTCTATACACTATACTTACACACATGTCTGTCCAAACAGCTTAAAAAGTAGATTTTTCACCATAGGTGCCCTTTAAATGGTTTTTAAAACTGCTTTTATTCTTGCCAAAATACAGTCTTATTTCACTTTCTAAAAAAAATTTATCTCTACAAAAAAATCCACCAAATGCTATTGAGTCTCTACATGCTGTACATGAAAGCGGTTTACCTGTCATTGGGCCACATGGCTACATGATTGTAGAGATAATAGGAGAGATGGTTTGGCACCAGATCTTTTCCCGATACTCTGACGTCTACAGGGTACCAGAACTCAAACTCCCGTCTGAGCTTCAGCAGATGCTCCTTCGGGATGTCCGTCTTTGGGAAAGGTGATGTTTTGAAGAAGATGTAATCCCACACCTCCCTCGTCATCTGCTGGGGTCTGAAGGGAGGAAATGTTTTTCTGTATCATTGTCTCGATGTGCTATTTTTACTCGAGTAAAATTGAACCACACACAGGATAGATGCTCAGGAACATGTCATTTCGGTTTTCAGTCAAATTCACAGTGAGGCTTTTTTTATGAATTTATTAAAATATAAAAGTATAATAAAGCATCTATTTTTAAATGCATAGGAAACTATCCTTAATGCTGCTTGGTATGCTAAAGCATGTGAGGATTTTCAACACAATCTCACGGCAATTCGTAACTTTTTGATTTAGTGGCTAATTCGTATGAATTCGTATGATCTAATTCGTACAATTTAGTACAATTTGCTCATCCCCCAATGACGGTTGGGTTTAGGGGTGAGGTTAGGTGCCACGCCTTCTTTTTAAAAGCGTACAATTTCGTACGACTGAACTCGTACGAATTCGTACAAATTAGCCACTAAACTGGCAAAACGTAAAATACTACGTTTTCACGTGAGATCAGGCTGGGATTTTATATGCAATGCAATCTAATGTATTTGTTATTTTAATGCCATGTCGGCAACCAGGGCTATTTTCATAGAAAGAATGTTTAAAGGGGTGGTCCACTACGATATCATATGTTAAACTTTAGTTGATGTGTGATATAGCTGTGTGAACATAAACAGCATCTCTGAATGTAAAATGCTCAAAGTTTAATGCTAAGGGAGACCTTGGTTTTTACAGAGTTAGCTTAGCAAAGCCTAAAATGAACGAATTTTGGGGACTGCAAAAAAATACTTTCGGGCCAATGAGATCAGAAATGTACTTTTACCGCGCATACACACTGCGCAGCTAAGGGGCGTGGCCAGAGGCGCAGTAACTTTACAGCAGAGAGAGAGCTAAAATTCTGTCCAAAGGCTGGTATTTCCACAGAGCTTCCTCTGTTTTTGTATTTGGGCTTCCAAAGGACATGACACAAAGACAGAAGTGCTTACAGTTCAATATTAATTATGTTTCAGAGAGTTATAAAATAAATAGCAAGCATGATTTGACAAAACACAGCAACAGAATCTCTCCCAGTTCAGTGCTGGATTCGGATAAAATCTCCTCAAAGAAGGTGCAGCTCCAACAAGCAGAAGCTGTGAACTCTTGAGCCATGACCTGTAAGTGTTTTATTTGTTAAAATTGATCATGACATGCACAGTGTCTAGCCTTAACGATATGTTGTAGTAAAGATGTAAACAACTGGAAATGCTGTTTGGCACCGCTAACGATTGAGCTAAAAATTCATGTTTATCAGTCAAACTGCTGTAAACACGACTGTGCGGTGTTTCTCTATATTCAAATTTGTTGACAAAAAAAGAGAAGGGGGGGGGGGGGTGTAAAGAAATTCTTAATAGCTAATAATTGTCAATTAGCATCAACTAATTGCAACTAATAAAATAATATTTACTGCAGTACTACAGTATTTAGTCTTGTATATAATAAGATCACAATCACTAGACTATCACAATTATTATCTACTGAGATTAGCATACATTTGAATTGCATTTAACATTTAAACAGTGGTTCTATTTAAACCAATTGTTTTATTACAGATTTATTTATATATACAGTGCTCAGCATAATGGAGTACAGCGCATTTAGAAAATTTATATTTTTATCCATTTCTCAACGAATATAGGAAATGTATTTTGGTGCATTTAGATAAAACATATATTTATTACAATATAATTTTAGTCACTAAACATATTTAGAAATAAAAAAAAAACAATACAATTAAATTCAAGTAAAATATTAATATATATTATTACAACCTACAAAATTTTAACTACATTTTTCAATTTTTCAAAATACATTAAGGTGTACTAATTTTTAGACCGTTATCGAGAGTTATTTTGTTAGATAAGCTCCAAATTTGGCTTCAGTACTGACTAATCTAATGTATTCCCCGACGAGTGGGCACGGCCATTTGAATCTTTCTGGCTCGAGACTTCCAGTCTCATTCACTTCCATTCATTTTTAGGCATTAAAAACTGCTTGTTTCGCTGTTTGATGTTGCAAACTGATATTTTCTTACTATATTATTCTACTTGTTCTGTATAGTCAGGCAAACAATTGTTTGTAAAGCAAGTAGTTTGGCCATTTTCTGCCGTTTATTATTCCTAGTCATTTCTCCCATAGGCGACTGAATCTGAAGTTCTTAAACAATCGCAAAAACAGGTGCACTTCCACATTTTAGAATAAGGTCAATATGCACAAATATAATAAAGTATAGCTTCCTATTAAAAATATGAATTGAAAAGAGAGATTTGTGAGGGGTGTACTCGTATATGCTGAGCGCTGTATATACAATGTTTTTATCAGGCAAAACATTATGATCACCCCAGCCTAAAGTATTGAGTGTGCCCTGTGTCCTATTCACATAGAGCAGAACACATGGCAGTGAGTAAATATTAACCATTTCCTTCTTAGCTGAACTTTTTACCTGATCTACACAATGTAATATTACAAATGACATAGAATTGTCAAGTTTAAACTAGCCTTTACATTGATTTTTATTTTTGCTTTCTAGCTATTTTTGGAAGAGCAAATAATACCTGATTCCCAGTGGCGAAGGTCCTTGTCCACTGAGGACCCCTCCCTGGAGGAGATGTGCCACGGTGTAGTAGGCCATATAGATGGTGGAGTCGGACAGGGACTCAATGAGCCATTGTTCATTCCATGGCAACCGGGTTCCTATGGGAACAAAACACATAAAAGAACTCCAAAAATCAAAGGTTCTCTCAAAGGAATGCCGAGAAAATTGCTGATGATATCGCTGAGTGGTTTGGGGGCAAAAGAGGAGCGTGGAATAAGAGCATTACAAAATAAATACAGATGGGCCTTGTCCTTACAAAAAGACTTTATTTAAGATAAGCTTCACACAAAGGTGGCCATATGAGGGGATTTCAAAATCATGTGTGGAAAGGAAACTTTGTGCAGCCCACGAATTACAGTTCATTACAAAAATAAATAATAAGAGAGGAAGATGACAACACACTGCAGAGACTTTCAGCCAGTCTTACCTAATCCATACGTTCTGGAACAGGCGTGCTCCTGAAGCCAAGCTAACGTTGCTTCAAAGTTCTTTCTGGTTTCATCACAGAACCTGAAAAGCAAAGCAGTATTCACACAGCAGCCCTCTAGTAAATCACCCAACGCCATAAAGTGTGAGACTTACGTCTCCAGATGCTCCAGGACACCGTGAGCCTGCTTTTTCCATTCCTCATTGCCATAATCCAGATACCTGCCAGATAAAGCTAGTCACTGTCTGGTGACTCAAACGAAACAGGGATACCCCTCAAGGCAAGTCATAGCAATAAAAAAGTACTAGAACACCACTAAATCATACTGAACTGCAAGTGTACTGTATATACAACAAGACAGTAGTGGAAGCCATCAGGTATTCTTAATCAAGTACAACCATATGTAGCATACGAGAGTTTTCTGCACTAACCACTGGTCACACAAAGCCACAACACACTCGTCTGCAGACCGAGATAACACCTGCTTCTCAGGCTCCATGTAAATCAGTGCTTCACCCTAAGAAAAAAAGTAAAAAAAAAACATAAAATGAAATGTGGTAAGACCAAGTTTGTTTTTGTATTTTAAAAATAAAGAAAGAAATGGAATGATACCAATAAGTATTTTTCAAAATGAGTCATTTACCCTACAAATGAACTGTACTATTTTTCATTTAGGGAACATTTTCATAACAATGATGTACTAAAATCAGGAAGAATTCTTTGTATTTTAGAAAGGTTTTGTACACAGAAAACGATGTTGTCAAAACAATCCTTTTTCACATGGATCTGTGAAAATGACTAAAAATGTAGCACACATTCCAAGCCAGAAGCTGGCAACCTTACTTTGCAAGTAGATACTTGTTTAGACTGCTATTTTTAGCACCACTGATGCATTAGTTGTCAATTTCCCATGCTCAAACATTAAAAATGTTATGGCCCGTTTCCACGGTGCAGTACAGTTCGCTTCGGTACGCTTTTATGGCCATTTCTACTGTCAAAAGATACCTAAAAGCGAACCGTACTATACCACTTTTTGGGTACACTTTGCAAAGGCTACCTAGCCCAGCAAAAGGGTACCAAAAGGCAAAGCTAGACGCGCAGCTGAACGCTATTTGTTTACAGAGATCTGTCACTCGCTCGTGCAGCTAGCCAGAAGGAAAACAAAGGAACCGCATACATAACCGAGACATTACATCGTAATAATATATACAGGGTGGACCATTTATATGGATATTAAAAAGTTTTAATAAACCATTTGAAAATATGATTTATGGTACTATTATGTTCTTTATCAGTCTGGAAATAGGATCAACCAACCTTTTCCACCATCATTTTCTGAATGGGCTTCTTCACATCCTGGACCTTCTGTCCTTTGAAACCTTCCACCAACATGATCTGACAAAACAAATAAAAAATGGTTTAGATGTTCATGTGTAGGAATATGCAGTTACACAAGACTCAAAATAAATAAACTAAGGCTAATTCACACTTTAAGTGATCTGGGTCATTATTAAACACAAATCCATCTAAATACAAGACAACCCATGATGTTTATATCTGTCAATCACTAATAAATGCAGTGACAATGAGTACATTCCTTTTTATTCATTTCCGTGCATGAGTGTATGGTAGTTAATTCCACATTCACTACAGTATGTTTCACATTCCGTTAAGCTTTAAAATTAAAATAATATAATCTAAAACAAAAAACTGCAAATATGCAAATAATATCTGTTGATAAACACACACCTTGTTTTTTTGCTCTGCACTTAGTGTGCAATTCATGGAGCTAATCGTTGAAGCTTTAAGAGTGTTGAGTAAAGTTTTTGGGGCAGCTAAAGCACCCCTAAAATTGGTCTAGCAATGCCCAAGTTGTCAGGGTTCTGCCACTCTGGTCTTGTAAAAGGTCCGACCCTTCCTATCTGAACATGCAGCTCAACTCCTTGTTCAAGCTTTTATTCTCTCCAGACTGGACTATTGCAACTCTCTACTAGCAGGGCTTTCAGCTAACTCCATCAAACCTCTTCAGCTGCTTCAGAATGCAGCAGCACGAGTGGTCTTTAATGAACCAAAAAAAGCACATGTCACTCTGCTGCTCATCCGTTTGCACTGGCTGCCAGTTGCTGCTCGCATCAAATTCAAAGCTCTGATGTTTGCTTACAAAGCGACTTCTGGCTGCACTCCTTATCTGTTCTCACTTCTGCAGATGTGTGTGCCCTCCAGAAACTTGCGTTCTGTGAATGAACGTTGCCTCGTGGTTCCATCCCAAAGAGGGAAGAAATCACTTTCCCCAACTCTCGCATTCAGTCTGCCCAGTTGGTGGAATGAACTGCATCAGAACGGCAGAGTCACTCGCTGTCTTCAAGAAACAACTAAAAACTCAACTATTTAGTCTCCACTTCCCTTCCTAATCTGTAATTGCCTCTCAGGCTCCACCGCTAACTGTACTACAAAAAAATTAAAAATAAATAAAAAAATAATAATAAATTACTAATGCTTTGCTTCTTACACTTTACACACCTGAAACTTGCCTACAGCACTTAATCATTGTTGCTCTTATAGCTGTGTAAATTGCTTCCTTGTCCTCATTTGTAAATGTAAATTCTTGTTTTGGTCCGGACACTAGCTCTTGTTGTGCTCGGCTTGAGTTTTCTCGGGTCTAGCACTTGTTTTCTGTCATTGTGTGCGTCTCTACGTGCGCGCTGTCGTAGGTGTGCGCAGACAATGTGTCCTCCCACTTGATGCAGGCACGCGGCATCTGTGCGTGCTTGGGATGCGCGCTCTTGTACTTGTGTTTGCGTTTTGTTCTGTCGGCATCGCGCTGTTTTATTCTCAGCCTCTCAGTCTGGTTGGTTTTGGTTTCGGCTGGCACCAAAATGAAACATGCGCGTTGCTTATGTGAGCGCAAGGTAAGGTGTTAATTTATCGTGTGCTCGTGTCTTGCGTCTATGTTTGTGTTGTCCAAGCACGTGGATCTGTGTTTACATTGTGGCCGCGTGCTTCAGTCTTGTCTTTTATTGTGAACGCGAGGTTAATGAGTTCTGGCTGCGTGTTCTAGTCTTGTTTTATGTGAGCACATGGCTAGTGTTGTTTTTGTGTCATGTGCTCTCCTGTCTATTGTGTAGTCCCACCCTCCTTGTAAACCCATTATTAGTCTATTAGATTTTTCTGTTTAACTCCTGTTTGTTCACCTGTGTGTTAATTTACTTCTGCTTATATTCTCCTCATGTCTGCTGTCCTGTGTCAGTTTGTCATTGTATGTTGCCTTGTCTTGTTTTATGTTGCCTTGTTTCAGTCCTGATCCTTGCCTGCCTTTCCATCCTCATTTGTTTTGATTGTTCATTAGTTTTATTAATGTTCTCCCTCTTGTGGTTGTTTATTTTACCTTTTAATTTATTTGATTAATAATAAATAACTATTCAATCTGCACTTGGGTCCTCGCTCCTTTTTCTCCAAACCCCGATCAAGACACAAGTACCAACATTACTTTGAGATTTCAATATCTGTAATAAAAGGGTATAAATGATTGACCATCTGCAGCTTCTCGCATGAAATATAGCCAAAACTTTTGTATGTTCTTAGCATTGACATTAAAGAAGACGAATAAGCTTATTTCAAATCGTTTTAAACACTGTCTGGTTGTGTACTTGCTCTAAAATTAATTTCAGGTCATTTTTTGCCTAAAAAAAAAACTTACTGACTGCAGCTTTAAGAAGGAAAATTACAGCAAGTAAACTAACTAAGTATTGAACATGTCATGATTTGTCCTGTAAATAAAGTGTAAATATATATATTTTTAAATTCCAAGAACATTAGCTGTGTGTAAAAACACGGAGAAAGGACAGAACTACTGAAATTTATTTAATGCTTTGTATAAAATGCTTAAGTTATGACAGCTTCCAGACACATCTTCTATGGAGAATGTGATCTTTTTTCCCCAGATAATCAATAGAGTAAAAAAAATCTTGACTGTTCTGTGGGTCTAATTTTAAAGTCATGTGAATGGCCATGCCATTCTAACAGCTTTTTTTTTTTCTTTTTCTGAAATCCGAGTTTTTTTTTTGGCTGTGTTTGGGATTATTGCCTTGCTGAAATGTCCACCCAGTTTTCATCTTGGTAATATAGGTGTTGGGGCTGAAGCAGATAATATTAATTTATGGGGGTGAAGGTTGCTTTCTAACTACTAAGAGATTTTAACTGCTGTCTGGGCATTCCATGACTTTTCACATCTCCTTTCATGCGTTTAACTAATTAATTTTGTTTTCTTTGTATGTATGGGTTACATTGGTTGGTACTAACATCTGGTGAAATTTGGAAAACAACAGCACCTTTAAAAATCTGTTCTCTGAAAATAAACGGAGATACTTGTTTTTACCTGCTGTATGTGTTTGTGTGTTGGTGTTCAGTTGGTCTTACCCCTTCGTAAAAACCCTTGAGGTAGACCTTCTCCTTAGCCTCGGCCAGTTTCTCTCTGTCATTCTGGCTTTGGATCTTCAGTTCATCGCACACCAGTGGAGCTGACAGATTCCCATACCCTGGAATTTCAATGATGGGAACCTGGTAGAACAAACCAATAAGCCACTTTAGACTAGGGTTGGGCAATGTCGACCAATTTCGCATTGTACGATGTTTGATGTGAAACATCGCGATGGCATCCCCGCATTGTCTTTGTTTAACCCATAACCAAATCATAAATAAATAAAGATACATTTACACACAAACTACCACCTGTCAATCACTTTTTTCCACAGGACTTGACTTGGCATGACTAGTCAGAGTGATCTGTGTCGTTATAATGGCGTCGACAAACTTGGTTGGTAAGAAAAAGGTGCACAACCTACAGCAACTAACAGTATCAGAGGTTTACATTTAAATGACTAAGTACAAGCCTGAAAATGAAAGATTGAAGCAGTGTACTGATGCTGTGACACGTTACCTGATAGATTCAAAAGGCCAAAGAGTCATTAGATGAAGACAAGATTAACTAAATATCACATTTACCAAATATAGTAAGACGTGATCAGGGAATTCAGGAAATTTTCACAGCATGTCTGATAAAGTTTTTTCTTCTGGAGAAAGATTTATTTGTTTTATTTCGGCTAGAATAAAAGCAGTTTTTAACTTTTTAAAATCATTTTAAGGTCAAAATTATTAGCCCCATATTATTTTCTAGCCTACATAAATATGAAAAATCACTGCTTTTATGTCTTCTTCATCTCGGGAGACTTTTTCAGTTCATGCATAACAATTTGCTTTTGTATAATGTTATTATTATTAGCAGTATTATTTATTATAGTCATATTTATATTTGTTTTATTAAAAACAAGCTTAGATTTGCCCACCTGCAGGTTTTAGACCATATGGGGCACAGCATGTGTTTTAGGATATAACTCAGGTTTTTGAGCACATTTCGTTATTATTGTTCATTTATTTGTTTGCTGGAAATTAGAACTGAATTTAGAAATAGTTTTGAAACGAATATTTGCGCTTAACAAACAAAATTTATTATTTATAGACTAATTGATGTCTGTGCGTAAAAGTTTGCCTATCCAAGAGCGAAAGTGAAAGTAGATCCATTATCTCTCATTCTCACGCAGTAGATGCTCTGTTTAACAGTTTTCTGTTAAAAAAATGTCAACTGTTTGCTAGTGAAATGCTCAGTTTTTTCACTTAGACTTACTTTGTGTCCTGTAAATAGCGAATGCGCTCTTGGCGCTACGCAGCTGGCTCTTAAAGGGAATGGGAGAAGAAACTCTAATTGGTTTATTCTCAAAACACACCTATAACTCATTGAGAAAATAAACTTAACCCTTTTAGAACATGCGCCACGGCGCAAAGCGGATTTTCCCGTCCTTAAATTAGCAAAAATGCGTTCTGACACGCCCTGAACGCGTTTGCGCCCTGCGTTTTGCGCTCTGCGCATGGACCGTCAAAATAGAGCCCTTCATGTTTAAACGGTCAAGTAAATGTCATTAAAAATTACAAAATAAATCCCACACTCTTTTAACGAGTTTCACGGTGTAGTGCATATTTTAGATAAAAATCTACGTTTGAGTCAAGTTAGAATTGCATAAAGCTAAAACAATATTAATTTTATTTCAATTAGGTGTGCAGTTATACTGCAATGGCAAAGCTTAAATTAAAGCAGCTTTAAAGCTTTACATTTTTAAAGTCTTATTTTTCAGCACTGGGCTCTTTAATAAATAAATAAAATGAACTGCTTACCGGCTCAAATGGTAGCACCATAAAATCTTGGATTCCATACTTCTCTCTCAATGCCTGAAAAAAATGTTCAGGTGTATTTGTATCAGGTACATTCATCTTATCTGAAATGCAGTCATCTCGAAATGCACTAAGGAAATTTTAACTCTATAGAAAATTAAATGAAATGCCATAAAACAAGCAAAACACCTGTTTCTTTTTAATGTCCCTTAGAGCTGCAATATCATCCGGTGCATCTGACGGCACACTGGTGACGACTCCAGTTCCTGTGAAGACAAGTGAGATTTCAACAACATACCATGATGACTTAACCCTGGCATTATCTTCGAATTCTGCATACACCGTTCACCCTTCAGGTCAAAATATAGCATATACTGTTATAGTTCTTCTTTCTTTTTTAAATATTTCTCAAATTATGGTTAACAGAGTAAGGAAATTTTCACAGTATGTCTGATAATATTTTTTCGTCTGGAGAAAGTCTTGTTTGTTTTATTCCGACTAGAATAAAAGCAGTTTTTAATTTTTTTAAAACATTTTAAAGGTCAAAATTATTAGCCCCTTTAAGCTATATATTTTTTCAATATTGTAAAGCAATGATTTGTTCTGTAGACTAACTTGCCTAATTACCCTAATTAACCTAGTTAAGCCTTTAAATGTCACTTTAAGATGTATAGAAGCATCTTGAAAATAGTCAAATATTATTTACTGTCATCATGGCAAAGATAAAATAAATCAGTTATTAGAAACGAGTTATTAAAATTATTATGTTTACAAATGTGTTAAAATCTTCTCTTCGTTAAACAGAAATTAAGGGAAAAAATAAACAGGGGGCTAATAATTCTAACTTCAACTGTATATAGCAAAAAAAAAGCAGATAAATTATATTTCAATCCTCTGAAAGAAAAATGTATTTTGCATAAAGAAACCACCTCAATTTATCAGATGTCTAAGTTATTCCCTTATCGGTATGCAATATTTCAATGTTAAATAATGGATGTTTCATCAGAGGGAAACACTCGATTTTGACTAAAGTAATGGCACTGTTTTCTAAAGTACCTGTCTTCATAAATATAAAGCAGCAGATTCGTATTGTGTGTGCCAGTAGTTTTTGTGGTGCACTTTTTTTTTCTAATAGCTGCCAGTTCAAAATTGACCCAAACCATTGTACCCTAAACGTGTACAGCCTTCAGGAAAATAAAAAAGTACATTTTCTTCTAATGTTGGGTGTAATTTTGGTGACAAAAAGTCACCAAACTTTAAGATTAAACTAAACATTAGAGGTTGTTTTCTGCTGATAAAATGGAGCACGAGTCATTTTTAACCTATAAGTAGGAACACACGAAATCTGCGCGCGCAGAATTCCGCAGATTTTCCGCAGAATTCCGCAAATTTCTGCTGATTTTTAGGCTATTATTAATTCTGTTTATTTACTTGATATTTTACTTGATCATATTAATGTGTAAATCTGAATTTATTCAGTTTTTATTCAGAAATGTATTACTTTTTATTTAATATATTAAGGTTTTAGTTATGATACTCCCAAAATTATTCCGCAGAAATCCGCAGATTTTTACCAAAATTCTCAGCAGAAATAGCAAAAAACATCCACAGATTACGTCTGGCCCTGCCTATAAGTCAACAGGAGGTTTATACAGGAATTAGAGAGTGAAATTTAACACCTTTTAAGACCTCTAAGACCCTTTCTATACATTTTAGACCTTAAAAAAATTTACAATATACAGTATATTTACTAATTATTAATAATATTGTAAAAAAATATTCAAAACTAAAACAATATTCAAATACTGAATAAAAATCTATGAAATCTAGCATGGTGATGCCTCAGTTACTGCAGTAAACAAAGCAGCAGGATGTCAAATCTAGTAGGATTTCATTGATTTCAAAAACTACACAGCATCCTGATATTCGCAGATTTATTTCAGGCAAACTAGCATACAACCACACATTGCTTAATCAAAAATGATTATGGCTTTTTAATGCTTTTTACAGGCCTTCAATTTCCCTACATTGATTCAGCAACTTAATACTTTTTAATACCCTAGACACTAGGCTTGGGCGGTAATCAAATTTTGATACAGTCAAACCTCCTCCCTATTTTACCCCGGTATCCGGTATTACCGTGAATAATAAAATATGACGTAAGGCTTAGACAGTGTCACCAAACTGTTGGCTTGTGCCTAAACCATTCAGAAACTGAATACGTATATGCGACCTAGGTTCGTGGTCACCTGTTTGTCTTGTTCGTATTAGAGATCTGCGTGGGACACACGCACACAGAGCGCGAGAGAGTAGCACAGCACCCCTCTCTCTCTCTATTATTATCTATTATTATCGCTCTCTCTCTATATATATATATATATATATATATATATATATATATATATATATATATATATACTATTATTTAATAGTTGTTTCCTATTTAAGTGCATTGTTTTTATGACGGTATAATGGTATTGAAACTGACACCTTTGCTATTTTTAGATCCTGCGGTATACCATATTACCGTATTACCGCCCAAGCCTAACGGACACCATATTTAACTTGCTCTAAATGCTGCATGTGACTTTTTTTTAGACAATCGACAAACACATCAATATTAACATTTCTGACACATAATTTTGGGAAAAGCACTTTTAGAATGAAAGCAGAAGGCCAGGGTATGCAAATAAATAAAGAAATAAAAATCATATTTTCTGAGAAGCAGTTTGTGTTTGCAGTGATGTGGTCTATGCAGCCTAAGGGAACATCCATTACAGCTATTTCCAAATTCCATTTGTCCCAACTTCACTACTCTACAGTGACTAATGCTGCTTTCACTCGGCTATTAAAAGCATGTGGTATTGCCCTGCAGACCATTAAGAGATGAATAGTGTCTGTGGAGGGGTAATGTGAAGCAAGGACATTATGGGATGGTGCAGGGTACCTTTGTCTTCCTTAATGGTGAGCATTGGCAGGGCATAAATGGTCTTGTATGAGGTGAGAGGAGCGCTCAACGCACAGCCAAGGATGTCCTGACAGACACAAGTGAGACTAGATTAAATATGAATAGAATAATAATAAATACACATTTTAACTCAAAAACATTTCTACCATTATAATCATTTTTTTACTAGGATTAATAAAAACAACAAAAAGTGTAATGTTAATAGTATTTAATTTAAACCGGAAGCTAGGATTGTTATTGTTTTTGTATTGTGACCTAGTGAAACGGAATTTTAAACGAGCAAACAGTGGGCGTGACTTGATTTTTCAACCGCGGGCTGAATGGATGTAGTAAAGTAAAGAAAGATCAGGAAAGGAGTTTTAAAAGAGTTATTACAACCTAAAACCTGTTTTACAAAGCAAGCGCAAGCAGCACGTGAGCAGAGCGTGTTTTTGGCGTAAATGTTAACAGATTGCACACAGAGGCAGCAATAGTTTCGGCGCTGGGTCTATTTTTGACGCGCTGCTCACGCTCAATTAAAGTGACAGTGCATTGATAATGACCAAAACGCATTGAATGACAGTAAAAAGTAGCAATTTTACCCAATAAATGCGTTAATAATGTCAACTGATTTATATATAGTCATTCAAATGAACTTAAAACGATTA